CGGAATTGCTGGTAGTTTAGAACTGCTGACCTTGAGGTTGGCATCCTGACTCGTAACCACTACACTACCAGAGCTCCTTGCCATAGAGGTGAGTTAATGAAATAACCCAACCAAATATAACAGGCTAATTTTTAAATTGACAATTTTGTATGGCTCATGAATAATGTTATAAATTTTGGCAGAAAAAAGTTTCCCCACCACTGTTCTACAGAGTCACTATGAGTCTGAACCGACTCAATGGCACTTAAACAACAGAATTAGTTTGGAGGCTTGTAATATGTAAAGAATTCTGGTAGCATAGTGGTTAAGAATCGGACTGCAAACCTCACAATCAGCAGTTCGAAACTACCAGCTGTTCTGCAGGAGAAAGATGAGGCTTTCTGCTCCTGTAAAGATTTACAGTCTCGGGAACCCTGTACAGGGTCACTATGAGTCGGAACCGACTCCACGGCACATCACAACAACGATATGTAATATTCTTACATATTTGGGACTGAGACTTTGAATAAACTGATAGGGTGCCAACTGCATTATATATGCTAGCTTCCCAAGAGGTACCTTGGTTTTGTAATTTCATATCATTTTGCTGTCTTATTTCCTTTAATTTTCATGTTTTTTAAAATAATATCTTAATGTAAAAAGGCTCACTATCATTAAATACTTCATCTTTCAGTGAGCTGATTTTGCACATAATTATGGAAATATAGTAGAAAACATTTGTGTGATTATCACAAATGATATGGAGAGTTGCAAACAATTTATAGTTAATTGTGAGCTTGGAGGATTAATTAATTTCTGTGTAGACTACATGGAAGATGGGTTCTAACAATTTCCTATTACTGATATTTTAGAAAAAGGAACAAAGCACTTGTATGCATCACATAGATTCAGAAACAAGCAATAAACACACATGCACACATCTCACATCTAAATTATAAGACTTTGGATATATCAAAATTGCCCTAGGACCAACAGATTTCATTTTGTTAAAGCAGGTATTCAAAAGAAGAACAAAAGCATTTTAATCTTAGATTCCATCACAACTTGTACTGTAAATACTTGTGTATTTCGTATTAGAACTTCTGACATGGTTTGAACGTCTGTTGGTTTTTACAGTTACGTTTCAGCGCTGTCATTTATTTTTGTTTTGTTGTATTGTGTTAAGTCAAGGCTTGGGATCAGTTCAAACCAGTTCAGTCACGGCTGACTAAGCAGAGACAGGGATGGTCTCCAATTTGAAAAATGTGGGTGCCTGGAAAAATAACTGAACAGTAAAAATTATGGGTCAAATCCCTTGAATGAGGAACTCCAAAGAGGTGTAGTAAGATTGGATTATTGCCAGAATTGTGTGGAGTGACTCACATTCCAAGAGGCATGTTTGGCTACCATCTTTGAACAGGATGCTCTGTCAAGCAAAAGATTTGCTTACTATGCACTATACATACACTGCCCTTGTTTTCTAAGAGATAGATAAGCTTCTAGAATCAGCTCATAATGGTCCCCATTTTAGTTATCGGTTTATTTTTCCAGACACTAAACATTTTGCAAATTCTAGTCCATTCCAGTTTTGCTTCATCAACTGTGATTAAACTAAAGCACTGAGCCAAAGTCCTAGTGTAAGTTTTAAAAAGCACTGTTATATGTCATAAAATAATGAAAGGACTTGTTTTATTTGCAAAGTCCAGACAGCAATTTTGCCATCATCTGTTCTAACTCCAGCTTAATGGCCTATATTAAATATTTGTAAGAATGGAGCTGTGGGGTGAATGATGGATTTGTGTAGCAACTGCAGCTTGAACTTCTAACTAGTGTTCATTTTTCATCTTGCAATTCCATTTCCTCCCTTTATTGAAATAAGTTCAGTTGAAATGAATGGATACTCCTGCACATGTTGATGACCCTGTAAGTTCTTCTGACAATAATATTGGTCTGCTAATGGTACTGTTAATAATCTTTTCATGTCTTTCTTTTTTTTTCTCTCTCTCTCTCTTTAGTCTCGACCTATTCCTTCCCACCTGACTTCAGCAGTTGCTGAGAGTATCTTGGCTTCAGCCTGTGAGAGTGAAAGTAGAAACGCTGCCAAGAGAATGCGCCTGGACAGACAACAGGTACCAAGGAATCTTAGAGTCTGATAAATACCAGTGAGAGTAAATTACAGGTCATTTGATTTATGTAGAAGACCAAAACTTTTACATGAATTTTAAGAACACTGGGATGTAGTCTTTATGTCTTTATTATGCTGTTGTTCTTGTTAAGTGTCATCGAGTTGGTTCTGACTCATAACAACCTTGTGTAGAGTTTACAATGAGCAGCTAGTGAGTTTGATCCACCAACCTATATTTCAAACTGACCTTGAAGTCCAGTGTGTTATCTTGTGATCAACTAAGAACAACCAAAAAATCATAATGAAAAATAGATACTTGTAAAATCAATATTATAATTATATTTAATATACCCTATTTGAAGGCTGATTATTTATTTACATAAGAGGTTCTAATGATCATTTACAATAGTTTTATAAATTTGCCTAATAATTTGAGGTAAAGACACTAATTTTGAATGAATTGAATCTCACTTTAATTTCTTCTGGTCTACTGCTAAATGCCATAGCTAGATTATTCTAGGAGTCCTGGGGTGGCTCTGTTGGATAAGCACTGGATTGGTCGCCACAAGATCAGCAGTTCAACCTACCAACAACTCCTCAGAGACCCTATACTGATTTCTATGGGCCTACACTTAATAATAACAACACTGCAAGAACAAGCAAGTTGCTCACCCAGAAGACATCAAGGCAAGCAGTCAGGTCCCCTCAGGGCAAACCCTCTTCCAAGACTAAGACTCAGTGGGAATACACAAGCAGACATGCACTCTGACTGGTGATCACCTTGGTCACTTATAAGCAGAAGTTAGGGAAAAACAACAATGAAGCTGGGAGCTAAGTCCTACGATGTTCAATAGACTCATGTGAACCCGGGTGGAGAGCTGGTTGGCCAGCAGTACGGCAAGACCTGGGGACTCCTGGGCCCAGAGTCAGTGACATAGCCACAGAGGACTAGAGTGGAGAATGAAGCATCCAGTGAGGGCATATGTACAAGAACACCCACATTTGTAGATAATACCCACTTGACCTGGCTTCAATGACTGGATGATCAAAATTCAACTAGAAGAAGAAAGAAGAGAGAAAAAAAGAGTAATCTGATACAATTTGATGAACTTGTCCTACACTTATGAATGCAGTAGTTCAAAAGAGGGAAGAAATCTTTACAACGAGGATCATTCCCACCCCCTCAATACACAGGGTAGACAGGGACGGGCAACTTGGACACTGGATACCCAAAATGGGGGGGGGGGGGGCACAAAGGCAAGAAGTGACTGGCTTACAAGCTTTCAAGAGGGAGCCTAGATCCAGAGGGCACAGAGAAAGGTAGAATCTACACTGAGTAGTATCCAATCTGTCTGGGCGGGACTGATGAAAGGAGATGGGGGGATAGGTCTCTTGTGATACAATAGTGAATAATTGCTATCAGGACTGACTGCGAGGGTTGGAAATGTAAAGGTAGACATTTTGTAGCAAAAGGAGGGGAGTGGTTGACTTTGCAATTCAAGAGCAGAGGTCCCTGGGACCATCAAGGGGGAAGAGTGGAGTGTGGAACCCTACCCAGAGAAACCGTGATGCCAGAGATGGAGACAGAAATGATGGAGAGATGGAGTGGCTGGGGACTTTAAACCCAGAGAGGGAGAAGGACTGTGTGCTGACTACAGAGGGACAGGCTTGTCCTTTGGTTGGTTGATGATGCATGGAGGGGATTGTAACCATGGCAATGAAAGGATATACTATAGGAGGATTGTAAAGCTAATGTTCTCCCATGTAAGCTATCACATAATTCACAATAAAACATTTAATAATAACAATAACAACAACAATAAGTTATTCTAGGAGCGATGGAAGCATATCAGGTCTTTGTAAACCTTTCAAAACCTTAAAATGGAGATAAAACTTTATGGAATTCCATATCCTGGGCAAACTTGCTTATTCACTAATTAATCACATATACCCAATATATCGGAGTCCTGGTGTGGCACTGTGGGTTAATGCACCAGACTGCAAAGCTGTTTAAACAGCAATTTAGACAGTTCAAACTTGCCAGCCGCTCCTCGGAAACCATATACAGGGTTGCTATATGTCTGGATCGACTCGTCAGCACTTAACAACAACACCCACTATGTATGATGTTTCTATTTTTAAAACCATCTGTGTGGTACAGATGTGTGCTTTTTGTATATATTGTTAACTGCTGTTTCATTCACTTGTTCAATGATGTTTCACTTAGTTGTTCAAATGGTTTGTCTCTATTTCTCTCTCTCTCTCCTCTCATCTCTTAAATGTCGTTGTCTCTTTTTTCTTTCTCTCCTTTGCTCTTTCATTTTCCACAATAAAATAACTAAATTTTAATATATGGTACACATAAAATGTGTTGCAACTTGAATTTAAGATTCTTTGTTTGCAACAAAGAAGTTAGATGTTTTTGTTTTCCTGAGAGTCAGTGGCCTTCAAAGGATAGAGGAGAAAAAGAAACATCCTCTTTTTGGGTATTATGATGTTTCTTCCTGTTGGGTGGATTCTGAGTGTACAACTAGGCTCCAGAGCATGATCTTTTGGATACAGATGACCAGGCCTAACTTTTGAGGTGCCTCTGGGAGCTGTTGAACCATTAGCCTTTCAACTACTTGAATGCTTAACCATTTGTACCACCCAACCACTTTTTTCCATGTTGTTGTTGTTAAGTGCTGTCAAGTTGGGTCCTACTCATAGTGACCCTGTATAGATAGGGTTTCCAGGAATGATTGGTGGGTTTGAACCACCAAACTTGTGCTTAGCACTCCAGTTCTTCCCAGCAGCACCACACATTAGATTTTCCAATATTTCAAAAATTTTTAGAATGTCATCAGATTTTAATTTTATGTATCCATTATGAAAATCACATATGCTAATAATTCTAAACAATGAAGAATAACCGATTTGGTTGTTGTTAAGTTCTGTCGAGTTGGTTCCAACTCATAGAGACTCTGTATAGGGTTTCCAAAGAGCAGTTGGTGGATTTGAACTGCTGATCCTGTGATTTGCAGTTCAGTGCTGATCCTACAGCACCACACCAGGAGTCCGTTGTTGTTGTTGTGAAGTGCTGTTGAGTAGATTCCAACCAATAGCGACCCTGTATAGGGTTTCCAAGGAGCAGCTGGTGAGCTTGAACCACCGACCTTGCAGTTCGAACGACTTTACTGTGTGACGCATTAGCTACCAGTGCCACACCAGGATTCCATAGTTAAGTAAAAATACAATATATATACTGGATAAAAAGTATATGAAAGTGTCCATTTTGAATTTGCTAATCATTCTTCACCACTAGTTTTTATTCACATGCTTGTTCTTAGTTGAGACTATATCATTAGTATAGCTATAAAATTTATTTTACTTCAGATTAATTAGAATACTATATACTACTGTATATAATGGAGTCTTGGTGTGGTACTGTAGGATAAGCACTGGACCACAAGGTCTGTTTGAACTTCAAGTGTGGCAGTTCAAACTCATCAGCTAGTCAGAACTCACTCAAGGGCACTTAAAAACAACAGTATAGGAGTCTCGGTGTGGTGCGTTAGGATAAGCACTGGACTGCTAACCACAAGGTCAGGGTTTCAAACCCACCAGCTGTTTCTTGGAAACCTTGTAGAGGGTCATTGTATATGGGAACTGGCTTGATGGCATTAACAACCACCACAACAGTAATGATTAAGATTACAGATTATAGTGTTAATGAGATCTGCTTTTGAGCCTCATCTCTAACCTAATTACTTGTGTGATTTACAACAACCATTCCAGCTCTCTGTGCTTCCATTTCTTCACATGTAAGGTAACAAGAATAAAAGTACTGATGTTACAAACTTCGGTTACAAACTCAGGTTACAAACTTCGCATTTTGCCTGGCAGATAGGAAGCATCAGTAAATTCAGCTAAGGAAAGGTGATTGTGACTGATGTGTGCTAGCTTTTCCGTCACTGAATTCGTATCAGTGAAATTAGAAAGAAACAGCAGTGTTACCTACTGAAACCACAAAGCAGGTTTGGACCACAAAGCTGGAGGTTCAAACTCACTCCTTGGACATCTTATACAGGATCGCTATGTTTTAGAAGAAGTGCAGTCAGAGTGCTCCTTGGAGGCCAAGATGGCTAAACTTTGTCTCTCATACTTTGGACATATTATCAGGAGGGAACAGTCACTAGAGAACAATGTCATGCTGGGTAATATGGAGGGTCAAAGAAAGAGAGGAAGGCCCCCAACAAAATGGATCAGCCAGGTGGCATCATTGATGGCGTCAAATGTGGCAGCGGTAGTGAGGTTGGTCCAGGATCGGACATTGTTTCGTTCTGCTGTGCATGGGGTCGCTATGAGTTGGTTCTGACTCGATGGCACCTGACAACAACAACAACATGAGTCAGAACTGACTCCATGGCACTAAATAACAATAAGCATAGAGAGTTAACGCACTGGATTGCAGGTCAGTTTGAACTGCACAGTCAGCAGTTCAAGCTCACCAGCTACTCTAGGAACTGCATACAGGGTTGCTTTCGGTTGGAACCAACTCAATGGCATGTAACAACAAACACCACAATATTGGATATAAGATTTTTGAAATTACATCAAATCCATTTTGGGGAAAGTAGTCATAATTCTAGAAATTAGAAGAGGAGAATTCTGAGAGACTAAAAGAGCTTTGCTAATGGTTATTGAGCTATATGCAAATCTCTATCATCTAGTCTGTAATACACTCTGGAGTATTTGTGCTTTGTACCAACATTTTATAAGTCAGTTATTAACAACTGACTCATGTTATATACTGCGTTACAGTATCACTCTGTGTGGTATCCTCCAGAGATGGTCATGCCATTATATCTGGTACAAGCACTTAGTTATTTTCAACCAACTCTGTTAAATGCAGGATGCAAACATCAAATTTAGAGAGTTATTATGAAGATTTAAAGAGGTTTGGTGCACATTAAAGCATAGTATATTTCATGCTTATAAATATTAAATTAACTATCTACTAGA